CTGAGGAACAATTCCATTCCCCAGGGCGGGTACCATATTTCCCATCCTCCTACTGCAGCAGAATACCAGTAAGGGAGCTTGGTTGATGAACAACCTGATGGATTTCCGTTACTCTTAGGGTTGGATTCGCACAGAAATCCTTTCGATTTGGTGTATTTCCTACTGCTAGCAAGTTCTCAGGGAATGAGGTAGCAAAAAATAAAACTCCAGGATGGGAAGCACTGATGGATCATCACAGTGATCTTCACCCAGGTGTTCCCAGTTTGTGAATTACATCCTGGGTATGGGATGCAGAGTAGCTAATAGCTGCCCATTTTGACACCAGAGCAACTCCTTTGAAGCCGATTGATGTTCTCCAACAACAGAAATGCCACGCAGTACCAAAAACGAGAGGACGCCACAGTGCAATTTCACTGAAAAAGATGCATATGGTGTTATTTGAACAATATTTCTCCAAGCTCCAAGGCTGGAGTTAGAGAAATAACGATGTAGCTCAGCTCTAGCGGCCGCCATTCACAAGTGCACGCGCTAATAGGGTATAATTTGACAATATGGTAGAGGTCTGTCTTTCCAGCTCCATTATCTGCGAAAGATACAGCTCTTTTGCCAACTTGGTTGCACAGCAGTAGCATTTTGGTCCGCGGCCAAAACAACAAGGAGCTGCCAATGAAGCTGAAGATCAGGCGCCAGGCCAGCAGGGATCAGAGGACGAGATGGGATGGCCTGGCCCTGGGCAGAAGGGGACCCTCCAGCACCTCCCGGCTGGGACACAGCATCGTGACAGATCCTTGCAACACGGAAACACAGGAAACAGCAGAGAACGGATGCACCTTAAATAACATTTGCTTTCTTCTTTTTATCTCCTTTTTTTTTCTTTTTTTTTTTTTTTTTTTTTTCTTAGATCACACTTAATAAGATTCCTCGACATCAATGCTGTGGATGAAATTGAAAGCTGTATTCTCCTAAACCTGTTCCCAGTGTTCCGTTTTTTACAGAGCTGCCAGGGGCTATTCTGCATTCCCACAACTGCTACAAATGTAACATATTGTTTTGCAATAAAAATTAGCTATAAAAGTGTGAAAAATGCCAGAGATCCAAATGTGAGAAACAAAAGAAGGGGGTATGGGTTTCGCACCCTTTTAGTGGACATTTTATTTATTTTTCAAATGGAGTAGACATATTTATAGCTACTGTATTTCAATTATCTCTAATTTCACACGTTTTATGCAAATGCTAGACATTTTAATTGCAAATGAGAAGGGAACTTATTTTTAAAGTGGAGCAACACAACATTTCAGTTCTCAATTTTAATTCCAAATCTATCTACATTGCTGTTAAAAACTTTTAAAACCTCATTTACGCCGTGACTTAAAAATCAGGTGCAATTTAAAACAAAAACAAAAGGCTGCCATACAAATCAGTTATAATTCAAAAACATCTCCCACACCTTCTCTTTTAAAACAAAATTCGTTGGTAGGGAAGGATAGGAACTTGAAATGATATTGTTCAGTGGCCCACTGTTTACATGGAAGTGAGAAATTTACTAGTATTGCCCACCACTGATAAAAACTAATAATTATCCAGCCCATTTTCTTTTTGTGCCTCTGAAACTTCAACAATCCGGGACAGAGACATTCCTTTACTACACAAGTACTCATGTTGATGTACACATGCAGTCACAGGTTTAAAATCACACTGTGCCTACAGAGTTCTCTGAGCTGAAAACCCTGTCTACAGCTTTTCACTATCCAGAGAAAATGTCTTAAAAGTTCCAACTATTTACTGAAATAAATAAAACAATTTTATTATAAACAGAAATTTACTGTCTGAAATATGGAGGTTTTTTTTTTCTCTCTTTCTTTCCTTTTTCCCCCTGCTTTCTTTATATTTGGTAATTTATTTAAATGCATTCAGAAACACATTCAAAAAACGAGACATAGCACTTTGGTTAAGACATCTATATTTCAAATCAACATCCCTAGGACTTTCTTCAGCTCTGTTAATACTCTTTTTATTTGATTAGGGTAATCTGTTGTTGTGCTGTCTTAATCTTTATCCACTACCTTTTAACCAATCAATATTTTAGGGTTATAGATTCAGAAGGTAGACGATAATTCTGTAGATAAACTCTCTAGGCACTGCTGACATAGTCTGGTTGCATATTTAATATCTTTTCAGAGGATTCACAACTCCAGCAACATCAGAATCTGCCCAGAAGAAAACGTCAGGCCTTAAATTTTCAAAGCTGCGTGCGGGGATTTGGCCACCTGACTCCTATTAATGTCAGTGAAAATTTAGTGGTAAGAAAAGCAACGTCTTTTCCCTCAGATCATTTCTTGTCTGAAAGGAACCAGAGAACAAGAGAAAGGAAATGAAAAGCAACTTTGTATTGTAGGCTGAGACCAGCAAGGCCTGCTGTTGGGTTAGGAAGCGTGCTGAAGCAGGACATTTGCTCACTAAAAACCAATGAGCATCTTCACACCTTTCAAAATAGAAAGGTAGGAGAACTACTTCAGAAAGAAAAAAAATGGATTTTGTGTTTTTAAAATGTCATTAAAATATATATTTTTTAATTTTCCTCAGCTAAAATTATCTGTTGCTAAAGATATTAATTTTGCTGGAGATAAAATTAGTTGTCAGACTCCTGTTTATGGCCTAATTACCTTTTGTAAGGAAATGAAAATAGAAGGGCGTGAGAAATAAAAGGAATAACAGTAAAGTACAACTACCTACCTTCCTGAAAGAGGGGCTCTCAGTACTGAGCTACTTGTGTGCATTTCTGCAATGTTTTGCATATTTCAAACCCAGGACACTGTATTTGCTCAGGCAAACTTGGGCTGCATTGAGCTCTGTCATGTCTCACGTGCAAGGCCTGGGCAGGGGCAGGGTGAACTCAGCCACCCACAGCCTCTCTGCAGAGCTGGGAACCTTCCTGTGATTCCAGCCCTTGTCATAAGAGAGCCAGTAAGGGAAATCTGGGAGCAATGGCTTTGGAAAAGAAAGCCAATGTGGAGTAAATCACTGCACTTTCATCTCAAAATGGTTGTCCACTTTGATTCCAGCTTTGGAACTTGTAAATCATTTTTCTCTCAGCTGGAAGTGGGTGTTAAGCATGCCACTGGAAGGCTGTGAGACTTGTAATCCAGTGGACAGACCCCAGTGTTCCAGTGCTGCAAACATTACAACTAGCACACTTTGTTCTTGTTTTGGTAATCTGTAAGCATGCTGACGGATCTTCAGCTAAGGAGCAAATGCCAGAACTGCAGAGTATATTTCTTAATTGCTTTGCCTATTACATTACTGTGAAAGCAGTATCCCCACAGAGATGAGCAAGGCTTGGAGAACACTGAGACATGAGACGCTGGTTCACTTCAAACTTTAAAGCTACTCTGACCAGGAAAAAAGGGGGAAAAAAAGGCTATAAACCAGTGCCAGTAAGACAAATGGGAGAACTGAACTCCTTCCAGCTGACATCTTGTCTAGTAAATGGGTCCCTCAAGGTCCCACGAGCATACAGGAAGAGAAAACACCAGATACAGTCTCTCTTGATTCATACAGCATTCCTGGTAAGTGGCAGCCATGATGCCATTCCAACTACAGTTCTACCTGGCAAATCTTGGGAGTAGTGCATGTATGGTAGATGGGAGAATCTGGCCTCAGACAGTTGTCTTTTTGAAGCGTTCTTTGGAGTGTTGCCATGAGAGCTGCCCAGCCACATTTTTGAATGTATTTGATGGAGAAGAAATTTGTATCTGTGTTCATTTCACAAGATGTAAACGTCTCTTTTGTGGTAGGAAAAAATCCTGCTTGCTGGAAGTGATTCTAATCTAATCTGACACGCGGTATTTGTAAACCTACTTTGGTGTCCCAACCTATTTACAGTGTTTACATAAAACTCCCCGAAATCTCCACATTCCTTGAAAAGTTAATCCAGTACAAATATTGACTGGCTGTCAATTGAGCATTATTTACTTGCTCCAGGACTGTGCTTTATTGCTTTAACTGATGAAACTTGTTTTCTTCACCTTACTTAATTTCCTTTTTGGCCTGTTTTGGGCCAAATACCATGTGCTAGTCTGCACCTCTTCCACTCAGTATGATTGAGCTGCCTCTTCAAGTTAGTTATAGTGGGAGGGCAGGTGAAACACTCTGCTTAGTTCCACAGGAGCTTGGAATAGGAAGCCAACAACCCAGTCTGCATTTTGCAGAGAGGACCTGAGCCAACAACAGTCCCTTCCCCTGCTAATATTTGGTCCACATAGGCTCCAGAACAGCAACCAAATGTGGATGTACAGTGCAGAGGGGCTGAAAAGATGTCTGAACAGTTCAGCAGAGACTGCGAAAGGTAAATACGAGAAGCAAACAGACAAGTGAGAGGTTTAAACTCCCAGGATGGCAGCCTATGCCTTCACTGGGAGCCTGTTGTTGTTTCTTTTGTTTAGGAACTCTGTGCCTTTGTGTCTTTTAATCGAGACTAGTATAAATTAGGTTGACCAGAAACCGATGTTCGAGATGTAAACTGATCTTATTTTGAACAACAGAGAAAACATTATTTATTATTTTATTTCTTAAAATCTATAGGTTCTAGAAGCAACTAAGCAGAAAGCAAAAATAGCAACTTTCACATCACTCCCTGATACTGCAACAAATCCCATCAAATGTTTTAAGTTTTGACCCCAGGTCAAGTGAAACCGACAATAAATCTTAGGTTGAATTCAATATCGTTAAGCTGCAAAACCCAAAATCTATTATGAAAGATTTATCAAAACGTACAAGAAAGGAACCCAAAATGTTTCCGTTAGGGCAATGAAGGACAAAAGAGAGGAACGACAGAGAGGCAAATATTTGTAGAACTCAAATGTCCATAGCAATTCAGAAGGTTGGTACAACTCTACGACCTCAAAACAACATTTAACAAGGGTTTTGGTGAATTATGCAGTTAAGAGACAATATGTATGTCTGTGTATTTCGCAAGAGAATGAAACAGAGTGGACACTTACACTTTGCAGGAGCACTATCTGCTTCTCCACACAGGGATGCATTTTACATTGCATACATCTCCCAGACAGTGTTTGGTGCTGAGACAGGATGGTGCTACCATCTGTTCCTTCTTATCAGCAGTCTGGTGGGAGAAGGGCACAGAGAGAAAAAATAAATGGGGTTACATGTTATAGGTCTTATTACCACGTCTTCATTTAATATTTTTTGAAACTTTTAATATCTAGCTCGGATGGTAGGACAGTCCCATTCTTTTAATTGCATAATTGTACATACTCAGAGTACCTTTTTGGGAACTGAACAAAGTCATGACAGTTTTGCTCTCAGATTGCCAGCTACAGCAAATTTCTTCTTCTCTAATCTCTATTTTTTTTTTTTATTTTAGCCTTTACAACTTCTTTACAAGGCTACCTCTCCTTTTTTTTTTTTTTTTTTTTTTTGATTCTTAAGGGGCTGATTTGTGCTAAGACTTTTTTTTTTTTTTTGGCTTAACAAAACATGTGTTATCACTCAAATCCTGTCAGAGGAATTCAAGGTGTCTTAAGCAGTTTAGCTAACAGCCTCCAAGAGCGTCACAGTACTACCGCCATATGTCCCAGTCTGAAGCAACTGTCTCCTCTGCTCCTCCTTCAGCAGACCCCATGCTGCTCACTCCTGTCCCCATGAGCCATGAGAGGAGCAAGAAAAAGCACTGTGTCATGTGGTAAGTGAGCAAAGAAAGAGCTGTCCTCGTGAAAATACTGCTAAAGACCGACTGATTCAGCAGTGCCTATCCTCTGCTGGGTGTCACTAGGAGTTACTGTTTTCCTGTATAATGTTATTTGGATGCTAAACATGGGGTGGGAAAATCAATACCTTAACAGGCCTCTTCCTTTCTCAACAGCTTTAACTGCAGAAAATGAAATTCTTCAGTTAACCAATAGGTCTGATATTATCCACATTCCTGGAAGTATGCTACTGCATGAAAAGTCACTGTGCAGCCATGATCTCAGTAGCTGTCGTGACACATGCAGCTGCAACTCCATCAACATTCACGCTGTCTTGCCCTGCCCCAGCCACTGGGGCTCCTCTCCTCTTGTAGCTGCTTTGTTCACACTCATCTCCCATATATTGTTTGCATAGCTATGTTCAGATATGGCTCTAGGGCTGCACGGGCCTTCCAGCAGAAAGCTGCACTGCAGTGATGTGCCCACATGCACATACACCCACAGAGATGTGCACACGTGTGTGAGAGGTTGGGCAGCACAGGGCCACAAGGCAGGAGGCCTGAGCACAGGCTAGCACTGGGTTGGAGAGGTGAGGCATCACCTATCATGCAGATATAATCTCATTATGAGAGTTGGTGCTTGGTTGTACGAGGAAAAGGAGAAACAAATTACAACGGAGTCAGAAAGCAAGGTGACAGGGAACCCCAGATGCACTTGAATTGACCACAGTTACGCCATTAGCATGAGGTGTAAGAAGTGCCAACCAAGATGAAAACACCAATGTTATTTAACAATGTATGTTAAAAAGCTCAGGCTTTGCTGTAGCCCCCATATCCTTCCCTCCCCACATACCTGTACATAATAATAATCATCATCATAAAAAATAAACCCTCAAGATCAAATAGTGAGTGATATCTTACAAGGGGAAAAAAGGCAGGCTTAAGGAACCAAATCTTGTAATAAATAATATATTGTGAGTTAAGGAGATGAACTGACGAAGTGGTGCACCTCTAATCTCTTTCCTGCAACAGCAAGAACAGCTGAATCACTCGCACAACATTTTTCTTTAAGCATATTCAGGGATTGCTTCTACACTCCACTTAGAGAATATCTTGCTCTACTAATTTACCAGATTGACTAAGCTACACATCAGCAGCATTGTCAGTTCTAACCTGTAATTTTGTCTTGTAAAAATATAATTTCTGAGCATTTTCTCACTAGAATGTAATCGACTATTTCAGGGCAGGTTTAACTTAGGGATGAGAGAATCAAGTCGCTTAACTGGTGCAAAGTGAGCTCACTTTTTGGGGCTCTGACGTCAAACACACATCCTCTGATGGATCTCCTAGGTTCAGTGCTAGGCTGCACTGAGTGCAGCTGTGCAGCCTGAGGAGGGCTCTAGCATTGGCTTAATGCTACTCTACACATGGCTGCACTGGGGACTCACCGCAGCGCTGCAGAGCAGCAAGGGCCATCGCTCAGGATTCAGTTATTCATTTCAAACCTGAAAAGGCACCAGTCCACCTGAACTGTGACTTTAAATAACACCCTCTACAAGAAAAAAAACCCCTCAACAGCGTGGCAGAGATGCCATGTGCATAAGGAAAACTGTTTCTTTAGCATTTTAAGTGATAACATTGATGCCAACACATTACTCCTCACTGTGCTCTCCTAGCACTGCACGGCAGATACACAGTGAGTGCTGTACACTGAGTACAGGATGCACACTAGCAGGGACCTCCCTCCCTACATCATTTCTGAGCTTCTCCTCCGAGGACAGTCCGCTCAGTTCTTTTCTTAGCTCTGCCACCAGGGGAAAAAGGGTCCCCATAGCACCCAGCCCTCATGAGGAGGTGCATCAGCTTTTATGACAAAGCACACGCCTTCTGAGCAAGAAACTGCTGGAAGAAGGAATGCTTCTGGTGTAATACACCACATGGGAATTTTATAATGAAAAGTCAGACAGCAATATAGAACAAAAGACTGCATGACACGATGCTTATTTTTAGAATGAATGACAGTTTGGCATTTTGGTATAAGAAGTGTAAATGGAATAAATCCCCTATTTTGCTTTTAACAACTCAGAAGTCAGCCATATATATATATATTTAAATGCAATTAATTTGAGCATGGACTTACGCTGCTTTGAGGTCTGCATAAGCCTGGTGTACATGTGATTGCACTAAAGATCCCGGTAACTTAACAGGTCAAGAAAAAAATGGTGAGAATGTAACTTGCTCATATTTGAAATAAGCTAGAAACTATTTCAGGGACACCTACCCATCTTTCCCAGATTGTTTTCTCAGTCCAAGAAAGTATTTCAGCCTTAAAGAAAAAAAAAAGAAAAAAAAAAGAAGACAGGTACAAACTTATAATGGGGCAACAACAGAAAGTGTTTCGCTAACAGTAAATCAGCAAATTTCAAATTCTAAAACAATTACTTCTACATCAGTTATTGCAGTATTACAGAGATTTCTGAGTGCTGCAATGAACATCAGAAGCAAATGTGCCTGCAACTATGTCTAAAAGGAGCTGTTTCTGGTCATCAGCCCTAAGACCACACTGACAGCTAATAATCAGAATCCAAGTCAAACACACAAGTAGGAGATTTCGGAAAGTGTAAAAATAGCATTAAAGGATTATGAAAAAAATAGGGAAAAAAACAGAGCCAGTTGCCAACATAAGTAATTGTTTGGAAAGTTTGACTTCTTTTCGAGAGCACTAGAGAGAATATCAAAAAGAGTGTTTAGGAGTGGGAACGTAGTTATTTTGCACAACGCTTGTTTGTAGGACAGTAGTTTTGTACCTAAAATCAACTCACCTACCAAATCAGCCCCGGTGATGCAACGTCACTGAAGATAGCCTCACCAGGTCATGGACTCAAACACTGCCGGAGGCAGCAGGAAACCTCAGTAAGTACATGTTCCATATCTTTGACTGGAGATCCTGGCTATCTACTCTTTGTCTTTGTGTGTAATCACCCTTTGCATAGGAAATGCAAAGAGAAAGGAAATTACTGGGTTGCATGTGGCAGTTTTGCATTCTGCCCTCTTCATTCTGCCCACTTTTTTTCCCTGAATTCATACTTTTTTTTTTTTTTTTAATCCTATACCACATCATATGCTCCTGTTTACAATTTCTCGCTGCTGCTCCACCTTCCTTCCTCACAGAAGTCCTTATACCTTCCTTCCAGCTCACACTCCTTACAGTTACCCTTCTTTCCCATCTCTCAGCTGGTTTGTTCTCTCACCAGAATGACAGTGCCAAAGCTGTGGTGGGCTTCTTCCAAATCTGCAGCAAACTGGAAGAAAACCCCAAACCCGAGGTATTTCTGCAAACCTACCCAAGCAACAGTCTTGCTGCTAGCAAAGGCGAGAACTGCAGTTAGATTGACCTGCACACAAAAAAAGGCAGTGGAGAAAAGGGGAAAGACTCAATTTATAAAGCCCACCTATTTGAGAGATAATTGCTGTAATTTTGCCTCTCTAGAACCTTTTCACTAGGCAAGCTTACTAAGGAAGGTGGATTTCTATTTCATAAAACTGTAATAATTCACACTGTTCTGGAAGTAGTTCCATTGATTTGTATTTCCTCTTTACAGTTTCTTAAATTCTAGGAAGAGACTTAAAGCCTGAAGAAAAAAAAAAAAATACCAAAGAAGGAGAAACAGACAGATAGACAAGAAAGATCAAACCATATACTACTGGGGGAAAAAAAAAAAGACAAAGATTTTCACTTTGTCTGGCACAGTGTTTTCATGTTTTTTAAATTGTTCTGTATTTTCACAGCTTCAGAGGATATTTCTGAAATACGGAATTTGCATTTTCTAGGTGGGGAATGCTGCCAAAGCTGTTAATCCCAGGCAGATGTAAAGTTGCACCACTACATTGCGATGTGGCTCCTTAAGATCAACTAAAAGGATAAAAAACAACAACAACAGCAAAAAACCAACCGCAAACACAAATATTCACCAACCCATATGGTCAATAATTGCTGTTTAATAGTCCTCCTATTACAAACCTAAAAAGCAGCAGCCAGAATTACCAGTAGAGTATTAATAAACAGGAATGAGTTAATAGTGCATAAAGACCTTCTAGTGGAACAGTGGGGGAGTTGAATATTCTTTTCTTAAGTCAGCTGTAAGTAATTACTACATGGTGTGCTTCTGACTATTACCATAACAGAGCAATTGGACGTGAAGAATGGATAATAGTATGGACATGGAGGTATTTTTAGAATATCAGCAGTGTGGCAGGTAAAAGCCCTGCTCAGGCACAAACCTTTAAGTAAGTTGAAATAAGTTTTCCTAATGACACCCAGGCTGAGCAGAATTTTGAAAAGATCAATCTAATAAATTATTGAATGTAACTTTATAAAGACAAGCCTATGATATGTAAATAAGGAAAAGAAATCCCAT